GCCCTCCTTCTGATGTTGCACTCTCCAGAGGTGCCTGCTTTAGAAGGACGCTTTGTGTAGTCAAAATCAAGAATGTCACAGTGGGATGTAGATTCTGTTGTGATGATGCCAGGGTTCTGGGGAATATAATAAGCCCTGTTAACTTCTTCATAGTTGATTTTGATTCCAATTTGTTTTCTCACTGACAGAGCCAATACTTCCAAATTCTCCCTCCTCACTATTGGGGGAGGTGGTCGTGCATAAGGAGCCCTGTTTACTTCTTCACGGTGGTTCAATTTCAGTTTTCCCACTGACAGAGCTAGAACATCCAAATCCTCCTTCCTTACTATTGTGGTGTGATGCATCAAACTGAGCATCAGCATTAGGGGGCCTGCCACTGGCTATCACAAGGTGGGTTCATTCATTTGATGTGTGTGTGTCCCCAGGACAAGTCCATGAATGCTGAAATCATTCCCTTCACATCTGTTACATCTGGAAGCCACTGGGCAGTTAATCTGTATTACTCCAGGCCATGGGTCACCATCAAATCATAAAGAAATGGGTATTCTTTTTCTATATTTTATATTCCTTATTGATCATCAAAGGATGCTTCCTAGTCAGCTGTGGTGGCAGGTGAGCCCCAGAACGGGTGTGGGAGAAATCCTGGGACTGTGTGTTGTGGGAGGGGTGAGGAGGCTGCCCACCTGGAATGAGTGGCTTAAATATCAGAAAGTTCTAGTCTGGAGAGTAAGAGATAAAAGACCAAAGCTCCAGTGTGTGGAGAGCATTCTCCTGACTTTCAGGTAGCCAGCTGCTCACATGGCAGAGAGGAAGAGGGTGGGGTTTCTGCTGTCTATCAAGGTAGACATCCTGTTCTGGAAACCCAGCTGTTAGGATCATTTTAAACCCATGTAGCTCTCAAAAGCCCCATATCCTGAGACTATCACACTGAGGATTAAAGTTTTAGCATATGAATTTTAAGGAAGGATACAGTGCAGTCCACAGCACATTTATTTCCTCATTTGGTCCTTTATAACTCCATGACAAAGGTTCCAGTTAGGGTGAAGAAGCTTAGAAAGATAAATGTGGGGGCTGGAGAGATGGCTCAGAGGTTAAGAGCACTGGCTGCTCTTCCAGAGGACCTTTGTTCAATTCCCAGCACCCACATGGCAGCTCACAGATGTCTGTAACTTCTGTTCCAGAGGATCCAACACCCTCACACAGACATACATGAAAGCAAAACACCAATGCACACACACACAAATAATATATGTATATCATAAATGTGCCCAAGACCACTCAGCCCTGTCCCAGCAAAAGTTGGAAGTCTTTTTTCGAGGGGATTGGGGGTGGGGTTTCAAGGCAAGGTTTTGTTGCACAATATTTATTTACACTGTGTGAAGATGTGTCACTGTGATTGGTTTAATAAAGAGCTGAATGGCCAATAGTTAGGCAGGAGCAAATAGGCGGGACTTCCATGAAGAGAGAGGAACTCAGGATGAATCTAAGCACGGAGATGCTAGTGAGACACTAAGTTGGATGTACACATTTTGGGAAAAGTAAAAGCCACATGGCAGAACATAGATTAATAGAAACATGTTAAGTTATAAGAGCTAGCTGGGAACAAGCCTAAGCTAAAGGCTAAGCTTTCATAATTAAATAAGTCTCCATGTCATTATTGGGGAGCTGGTGGTCCCAAGAAAGCCTGACTACTGGGTTTCTCTATGTAGCCTTATCTGTCTTGGAAATCACTCTGTAGACCAGGCTGGCCTAGAACTCAGAGATCCTCCTGCCTCTGCCTCCTGAGCGCTGGGACTAAAGGCGCGCGCCACTACCCCACACCACCACTACTGGACTAGTTGGAGGTCTTTAAATCTCAGAATAATAAACTCCTCATGATCTGGGAGGATGAGACAGAAGGATTGCCACAAGTCTGAGGACACGTTCCAGGCCAGCCTGGGCTATGAAGTGAGATGCTGTCTCACTCCCACACCTACCAAACAGCAACTAAAACCGTGCCTCCTGGGGTCACTGAGAAGGTGTCCTGTTTGTTTTGGGCCATTTGGTCTGAAGGTAAATGCAGACATGAGGAGTGTGGAGAGGAACTTTGAAAGGACAGAAATGTATGCAAGGGTGGGTACTGTGAACACAGGAGAACTCCTAAGGTAGAGGGGGAAAATACCATAAAAGTTGGTTCATCCTCAGGAAAGGTGGAGGAAGTAGTTTGGCAAGAAACAATCCTGGCAGGCTGGGGGTGGAGCCTGGAATTATGATGTCAACTATTACAGAGAAACACTTGACTCATCTTTCTTCATCCTCTTGGCCTCATTCCCAGGTCTCACGCCCTTTTTTCTGACACTGGTAGCTTCTCCAGAACAGGAAGAAGAGTCCAAAAGAGAAAAAGCAGCTCCTCTTGACACCTGGGCGGTGGGAGTTAGAATGATCTCTCTGTGGAGTCCAACAAGAATGCTTTCCCCACACAGCGCCCGTGTTGAGAGTGAGGTCCTTGCAAGTCCGCCGATGCCTCATTGGTCATCATACCGGTCATGAGACATCTCAATTCAGAAAACATGATCTTTCCCCTAAGGCCGGATCTGTGGAGGGGGCTGCAGAAGGAAGGGGTCTGTTACGGTTTCCTCCATCGGTCAGTCAGTCCTTGGGAAGCTCTCTCTCAGCTGTGTGGTCAGCTGCTGTCTCTACTGAAAGGTGGATTCTGAGTCACACACACAGCATGAAGGGTGTGGGCCCTGACCAGAACAGGCCCATTTTTCTCCTCCTTACTCCGGTTTTCCCTCCTTTTGGCATCCACTCCTTTGAGTGCAGCCGCTGGTCTCTTGGTTAATGCCAAGGAGGAAGTTCAGGAGCTTCCTGCAGCTCATGTGTGGGAGTTGAAGTCCTGAGTGAGACCATTGAGTGCACATGGAACCAAGAGAAAGGTCACAGAGGGTCTCTGAAACTAGCGATACCTCACAGACACCAACACACGACACAACTCAGGAAGGATTGTGGTGACCTTCACAGCAGAGACGCTGGGGGAGAATCAGGAATGGTGCCTGTGACTATAATCACTGTGTGCCAGGCTCTCTTCCTAAGCATTCCGCATGTGTCAAGACAGTCTGTCAAGTAGCCCAGAGGGGTAGATACTGTTATCTTTATTTTATTTTGGAGACAAGGGTCTTTTGCAGCCCAAACTGGCCTCACACTGGCTTTGTAGAGTGACTTTCAGTTTCTGATCTTCCTGCTTCCAGCTCTCAACTGCTAAGGTTTTATAGATGTGTGCCACCATGGCCGGCCTTTGTCTTCCTGTTACATAGGAAAGACCAAGAAGTTAAATGGCTTCTCCAGGGTCCCATAGCAAGTGGTAGACTGAGATTCAAGGCCAGGCTTCAGAACTACCAAACTGAGCTGCCTCCTATGTATCGGCTCCATTGGAGACCTCGGCACACCCTCTGAACACCTGGCAGAATCACAATTGCTTAATGACAGATGTGACTGCCAGGGACTCTAACACACAACACACAACTTGTCACATGGTTGGCTCAGTGCTTATTGAATGAATAAATCTGGGAAGGTAGGTCTGACACGCAGACTATTTTTCCCTCCCTAGCTCACTGCCCATTTTCTTCAACTCTTTCCAGTATTTAGTTGCTCAGCGTTTCTCACCACCCACGTTAACCTTTGTGCATTTTCTGCTTGGACAAAGGCCCATAAATGAACTTCAAGGATGTGAGCACTATGTGGAGAACCATCTGCAGGACCCTGGGTCCAGCACAGCTATATGCTTTCCTCCCCAGTACAACGATAAACTCTCCTTACTCCATTGTCCATTTTGTCCTTAGGAGTCCTGTCCCTGGGCTGTTTGTATGCCTGGCAGACTCTCGATTATGAAACCAAGTCCAAGGTGACCCATCCATTAAGCCAACTGCTCCTCCTTCCCTTTTTTTCCCCCATCTCCTCTTGTCCCACCCTCCACCCCCTTCTTCCTCTCCCGTGGAGGAAACTGGTAAGGTTTTAATGGAAAAGAACAGATTATCTTTCGTTAGGCAGTTGAAGCATAGAACTGCATTTTCTTAATTGGAACCCGGAGAATATGTCAACTTTGTTTGATAGTATGATGGCGAGATTTCTTGTTTAAAACAACAATCACCACCAAACAAACAAACCCGGGACTGTACTTGAAAGGCAAAAAGGTCAAGATCTTTGACTTTTGGAGATTTTTTTTTTTTTTGGGGGGGGTGGTGGAAATCAGGTAGAACTGCGGACAAGAACGCACTGTGCCTGTCAAGTTGGGGAAGTCAACCAACTTTGGTTGGCATCGTGTACTAAAAAGACACTGACAATTAAAAAAACAAAACAAACAAAACACAACTGAGATCAGATGATTCAGCCGGGTCCCCACGCCAGAGATCCTCTCTTCCAGCCAGGGGCTTCGTCCGCCCGCCCGCCCGCCCGCCCGTCGTTGTTTGGGCTACAGATGACTTCAGCTTGGCTTTCGGTGTCGAGTCGGGGGTTGGAGGGTGGGGTCGGGTGGGGCGGGTCATCGCCCGGGTCCTCGCCGACGCCGCCTTCCGGGTCGGTGACCCTGG